GAAAGTAAATTGGTTTTTCCTATTTTACAAGAAAATTCCTGTGTCAATTAATAAGTCCTTGTGATACTGATTCTAAAAAGCCTTTGAGCAGATCTGTAAGTCAATTGTGGTCAACGAAATCCAGCAAGTCAACATTTCAACTAGACACACCTTACGTCAGCAATGCTACACCATGAGGGACAGTCAGTGCAGTGCTTTAAATCTAATGACTACTAAGTTCATTTACCACCATATTGATGATCATTTGCACATAGGTCTCGATGGATTTTGATTCTGAAACAGTGCTCCAAGATTTATACCTTGAAGCACTCCCAACTCTGAAAGGTTCCAACTCTGACAATAAAGATCAATATTCTTCACTGAATAATATAATTATTCTTTCATAGTCTTTACACCTTTCAACTCAATAATGTTAAAAGTTGACAAACTTAAAATTTTAAGACTTGAATAATTTGCATCTGGCAATAACGAAAATAAAATGCATTGGTGCTCAGTATTTGGACGTGTTCTTTAAATTGTATGTGGAGATGTAACATTCAGTTATTGAAGCAGGTGTACATCAAAGGCAAGTTTCTGGCATAGAGGATTGTCAAAGTAAGACAAAGTAGTAAGGGGCAAATTAGTTTATTACAATAAAAAAGATCGCATAGCATAACACTGGTAACAGGTACATGTGAGACCAGAAATACTGGTGAGGAATGAAAGACAGTCAGGATCAGTCACTACAGCTAACCTAACTGAGTGTGACAAATTAAATGGCTTTGGCGAACAAATAAATGAGATGAAAATTAGAAAACATAAATTATCTAATTACTTAATCAACTTCCTCCATGCGAGATGCATCTTCAGCATCAGCCTGCAGATCGGGCATCTCAACATCCTTAACATCGTCCTTGGTTTCAGGGACATCATCTTCATCAATTCCAAGACCTAACTTAATCATACGGTGAATGCGTGAAGCGTGGACACCAGGCTCCTCAAGGGCGAAACCAGATGAAAGCAGAGCAGTTTCGAAGAGCAGCATAACTAAATCTTTAACAGCCTTATCGTTCTTGTCGGCTTCAGCCTTTTGTCTAAGGGTTTCAACGATGGCATGGTCAGGGTTGATTTCCAGGTGCTTCTTGGCAGCCATGTAACCCATGGTTGAGGTATCCCTAAGAGCCTGAGCCTTCATGATGCGTTCCATGTTGGCAGTCCAACCGTACTGTGAAGTGACAATACAGCAAGGAGATTCAACTAATCTGTTAGAAACTACAACCTTCTCCACCTTCTTGTCAAGGATGTCCTTCATGACTTTGCAGAGGTTTTCAAACTTGGCCTTATCCTCCTCACGCTTCTTCTTCTCTTCCTCATCCTCGGGAAGCTCAAGGCCCTCCTTGGTAACAGACACAAGCTGCTTGCCATCAAACTCCTTCAGCTGCTGAACAACGTACTCATCAATGGGCTCAGTCATGTACACAACTTCGAATCCACGCTTCTTGACACGCTCAACAAAGGCAGAGTTGGCAACCTGCTCACGGCTCTCACCAGTGATGTAGTAAATGTTCTTCTGGTTCTCCTTCATGCGGCTAACATATTCCTTGAAAGAGCACATTTCGTCACCAGAGGCAGAAGTGTGGTACCTCATCAGCTCAGCAAGCTTCTTGCGGTTGGTGCTGTCTTCGTGGATACCAAGCTTCAGGTTCTTTGAGAACTGCTCGTAGCATTTCTTGTAGTTCTCCTTATCCTCAGCCAACTCTTCGAAGAGCTCCAGGCACTTCTTGACCAAGTTCTTCCTGATGACCTTCAGAATCTTGTTCTGCTGGAGCATCTCACGGGAAATGTTGAGGGGAAGATCTTCGCTGTCAACCACACCCTTGACAAAGTTAAGGTATTCAGGGATGAGATCTTCACAGTTGTCCATAATGAAGACACGGCGAACGTACAACTTGATGTTATTCTTCTTTTTCTTGTTTTCGAAAAGGTCGAAGGGTGCTCTTCTTGGGACAAACAGCAGCGCACGGAACTCAAGCTGACCCTCCACAGAGAAATGCTTGACAGCAAGGTGCTCTTCCCAGTCATTGGTGAGAGATTTGTAGAATTCACCATACTCTTCCTGGCTAATATCGTCCTGGTTGCGAGTCCAGATGGGCTTGGTCTTGTTCAACTCTTCATCCTCAGTGTACTTTTCCTTGACTGTCTTCTTTTTCTTCTTCTTTTCTTTCTCCTCATCTTCCTCACCAACATCTTCTATCTTAGGAGTCTCATCATCACCTTCCTTCTTCTCTTCCTCCTTGTCCTTCTTGTCATCTTCCTCCTCCTCTTCATCCTCGCTAAGTTCCTTGTCGCGTTCCTTCTCGACGAGGAGCTTGATGGGATAGCCGATGAACTGGGAGTGCTTCTTGACAATTTCTTTCACTTTGCGTTCTTCCAGGTACTCCATTTGATCTTCCTTCATGTGCAAAATGATCTTGGTGCCCCGGCCAATAGGTTCACCAGTGTCTGGTCTGATGGTGAAGGAACCACCAGCAGAGGACTCCCACACGTACTGCTCGTCATCGTTGTGCTTGGAGACGACTGTGACACGGTCGGCGACCAGGTAGGCAGAGTAGAAACCAACACCAAACTGACCAATCATGGAGATGTCAGCACCAGCCTGGAGAGCTTCCATGAAGGCCTTGGTGCCGGACTTGGCGATGGTACCCAAGTTGTTGACGAGGTCTGCCTTGGTCATGCCAATACCACTGCAATCAAAACGAAATAAATTAGACAGCTGCCAGGAGGAAATCTAATTCATAACACCATACATAAGCAGAAACTTACGTGTCAATAAGGGTGAGAGTACGGTCGTTCTTGTTGGGGATGAGCCTGATGTTAAGGTCCTTGCCACTGTCCAGGCGGGACGGGTCTGTGAGCGACTCATAGCGGATCTTGTCCAAGGCCTGAAACAAAGACAAACTCAATGAGATACGGAAGAAAAAGATGTTTGTATGAACTAGGAGTCAAGTTGAAGAACAGGCTGGAAGAATGGCAAAGACAAAGAAAGAAAGAGGCAGACACTTACATCAGAGGAGTTGGAAATCAATTCACGGAGGAAGATTTCTTTGTTGGAGTAGAATGTGTTGATAATCAGGGACATAAGCTGAGCAATCTCAGCCTGGAAGGCGAAGGTCTCAACATCACCTTGCATGGTTTCTTCGGGCATCTGCAAACAAAAGAAAAAGTAAATTAAGAATTCGTAAAGGTCACAGCATGATGACTAATCACCGAAGGACTGAACTGAAAGGACACTGAAAATAAAATCCTACGGTTAAAGTGTGATGGGAATGCTCAGAAAATAACTACTCCCACTCATCACAGCTCGTGGAAACGAGGAAAATCGGAAAACGCTGCGTTATTGATCGCGAGGGGGAAAGGGGAAGCTACCCTGTTCATGAGCCAAAAACTTCTCAGAAAAGAACTAAGTTCAGCATAGATGATAAAATTTCGAAAACAGCAAATGAGTTGACTCAGACAAGCTTCAACGGAGGCAATCTAGAGGGTACTTCGCGTGAAAATGAGAACGGACTAGCTAGAGACAATGCATCCTCACACGAGAGCAGAACAAGGGCAACCAAATATAATCTAAATCACAGGTATTCGAAATAAAACTGATGAACGAGGGATCAACAGGACAATGTACTGGGTTCCCATTCAAACGGCCACACAGGGGGCTCACAATGAGTCCTCACTATCCGAGCACGTGTGAGACCCACACCGAGGCCCAAAATGGATACCGCAAAATCTTCGTTAAATTAAATCGGAGACTGGCCACAAAGACGTCTGAACGTCCAAAGCAACAACACAGAAATCACTAGCACTCGCTTCACTGCACAACACTCCAACACTCACCTTGAAAATTCTAGAATATCAGCGGTGCACAGGGAACAAAGTCGCAGCCGGCTCGGCTCAGGAACGCACGGTGATCGCACGACGACTGGATGAGAAATGACGCCGGGAGTGGGGGGCTGCCGGCTTATAAAGGCGCTGGCCCGAGCAGAAGCTTCGAGAATGTTCTGGAAGGTTCGGCCGGCGGAAGCGGAACCGAGCGACTCCCACTCCTCGCCGTCGAATGTCGGCCTCGCACAACTTGGACCCGTGCCGGTGGGGCGCAGGACGCGGCGCTCTGCCAAAGTTGTGTAAGAGCGACATTTGCGACCGGAAACGTGCTCCTATTGGTCCTCAATCTTCTAGAAGCTTCTTGAGCATTCTGGTGGGAAACTTTGAAGGAGGCGGGAATCGTATGAGTAACGATCCAAGAACAATCTGGATACTTTGCAGTGTTCCCAGAAGTTTGCTTGTGTATTTTACAATTTTAAAGGAAGATATTAAACAGTTGTCGAATTTTTTGAAGCCAGATGCCTCAACTAAAGAAATACATCTCGCTCAATGTCTGTCAAGCAATGTTTTGACATTTTTTCCTAACATGTCCATTACAGTAAACTATGCTCGGTGCCCTTGCATAAAATAAATGTGATTATTTTTGATATGGATATTATCGTTTTTCATCAATCATGCCAGGCCTACAGGATAACAAATATAAAAATAGAGTGGATTTCCTTGATATCATGAATAGATGCAGATGCAGTCCTTCACCTGGCCAAACATGGATGTTATGGTGACTTGTGTTTCTTATGTAATGACAAGTCAGTTTTCCCTCCTTAGCTGCATCCTTCTTCTGATTTTATTGATGATCCTTTTTCATTCAATGTTAGAGTTTGGGAATCAGGTAACAAAGAAATCATGCAAATCACAAATTGTTAATGTTTTGTTTTATTTAAATAGGGTATCTTTAATGAATTAGAAAGTACAATTCTACATCTGATGGTGATAGAAAAATATAAATTATGGTTATTATTACAGAGTGAGGTAAAGTTCAGTTCATTGAACCAAACACATTTTGCATTTAAGTTTATCAATTGGAATCCATTTAATAGTCTATCTCTCCCCATTATTACTATCGTCTGTAAAAACTACAGATATTAATTGACGGGCATGTTCTACACCCTCCTGCAACAAAAAATGCACACAATCAAAATACTGAAATAAGTTCACAAGAAAAACAATTGGGATATTCAAAACCATAACTTGATAGAAGTACCTGACATTCCTCTTTTCCCTGCACCGATTCAATGTAGGAGGCAAGTGTTGATTTAAATTGGAGAGTGGGGTCTCTGCAGTCTTCAATGCATTGAATATGATCTTGTACTAGGGCCAACATGGCAGAAAGCAGGTGTTCGTGGCTAGGGGTTGGTTCTTGACCAATGAGTGCTGCTAACTGGTGAACCCAACCCATCTTCTGGAGGTCATCTGGAAGAGAGATAATGTTTTGGATGGTTACAAAATATCATGTACTAATTCGGCAAAACAAAAGATTCAAAACACACCTCTGATAGCTGGATGTTCACCACACAATGCACTCAGAAGAAAAGCTGATTTCACTCTCAGCTTTTCTACATCGCTCTGCATGGCTCTAAGTAGTACTGAGAAACCATCATGCTTTGAAAAAGCTTCCAAGGCCTCAGGACAATTTCGCACAATACCTGAAAATTTTGATAGCCATTAGGTCGCACAAAGTTTGACAGATAACAAAAAATCAAATCAAATATCAAAGGAGAAAAATACAAAAGGGGGGAAAAAGAGAAAAATTGTTTGCTTACATGAAATGGCATACAACGATTTCACTTTAACTGCTTCACTGGCTCCAGTGTCTACCATTTCTAATAATGTGGGTAGCAATCCTGAAGATAGTATTCTTGATTGGCAATAAGGATTGTTCTGTGTGAGCTCAGCAATCAGCTCTGCAGCTCGCCACTGGAGTGAAGTGTGAGAAGATGTCAAACATGGAAGGAACACATCAAATCCACCGATTTTATGAAAGTCTGCAATCAATGATAAACCAGACAGGATAATAAAATGCATAATTTAAAATGTTAGATCATTCTGAACAATCTGATAGAGGACTCACCATTAGCTAAATCAACATTGTCCACAGTGTCTGTGATTGTTTCCAACGCTTCTTCATGTTCCTCAGGGTCATCATCAGGTTTCAGATCTTTCACCAATTTTAGTGTATTTAACGCTTTGGTCAAGACTTGAATCAAGTCAACTGTCATTGATTTGAGGGCTTCTTCCAAAAACTGTTTTTTCTATGGACAATAGAGTAAAGAAAAATATGATTAGAAGTTTGGCAACATTCAAATTTCAAGGGGCCAACTTAGTGGATCAAAGGTTTCGACATACTTCTCCATCCATAGGTTCGAAGTTAGACGAATTCGGGGCATCTTCCATGGCCGTTGCCTCCATAGCAAACCGTAACAACCCTTTCATGTCTCGGGCAGGTCGTGGCTGATTAGGAAGAACCACAGATTCGACGTTTTGATTGCCATTTTCAATGGCCCCCATAATCATAGGTTTGTTTTCAGCTTCTTGGGACGACACAGGTTTCTCTGACATTGTGGAACACTATGAACCTGCGAACACGGTCTCTTGCACGAGAATATGGAATATACCTCAACACCACCCTCGCAATAAGCAAGATCCAACTTTGAGTTTGATGACACACACTTCTCGGTCTATCCAGAATGTTCTTGGAGGTTATGGTTCCCCATAGACCGGTCGTCTGCAAGCACGGATGAAAAATAATACGGAAGTAAACACAGGTATGAGAACCCTAGTGGTTCAATCACATCCGTCATCTGATCTGCCAAAGGTTATGTTGTGATTGTATTCGTTCTAGTTGGAGCCGCTGTTATTCAACTTATCCGGTCAACTTTTCCCTGGCCATGTTTGGTGCGGCGGATGACGATGACCTGGAGTTCAATCCAGCAGCAGGGTGAGTCTAACGCCAGTTGTGCACCCTGCAAAACTGGACGTGCAAAGCTTTGGCACCTGTTATGTTTCCTTTTCCAAAGAAGGTTACGCCCTTTCCTTTAAAAGCTATTTTCTCAAGGGCAATTTTCATTAACATATTCTTAAATTATACAAACATGTGTATCACTAGGCCTTAGGCTTTCATTCATCAATTATTTCAACAGGAACTTTGTATTATGTGTATTGGTTTTCTTTCCCTCTTCAATTATAGGTCAAAACTTGCCTCGTTGTTTGGTCTTGAGAAAACTCCAGAGAGAGGCAATGCGTCCCTTACATATACAGCTCCTAAACAGCCAAAACAACATTCCAACGATGATGGAGCGCACCCAAGCAGAAGACCTTCAACAAGGGGCTCTACTCCAACAAGTGTCGCCCCTGCCTCTAACAAGTTATCATTGATTTGTGTGAAAGCAGTCACCTCTTTCAAGCTGTAAGTTATCTCCTAAATGCAGGCAGAAGTGCAAGGAATTACTGCAACCTATGACTGGCACTATTATCATACCTGTTGAGTGGAACAGAACTTATTTTGTATTTACAGTGAGGATGGAAGCTACAATCCTCAGGGAAAATTAGGCCTAGCACTTCTAGGAAATTCTACATCAAGATTATTTCAACTCTATCTTTACAAGGGCAAACAGCAACATATAACAACAGTCAAAATCACACCCAATTTTCAATTTACTGTAAGTCAAAAAGCACACTCCACTGGTTGGTAAGTCATTTGAATCTTGTCTCTAATATTATTGTTACATATGCAGGTGCAGCCCCACTTGTATGCAACATTTTATGATGATCGTACCCAAAATTGGTCCATTATGTTTGAAAAGAAGGAAGACGCTTTTGAATTTACTACCCAAGTAAGTTATACGAAAAAGGCAATCATTCATTAGCATTTATTTATAAAAGCTTTTCTTTAATCAAATAAGTGATGGTGCATTTCTGCTAACTGTTTTGTAGGTAGCTGTGGCAAGATATAGATCTGCCAATCCAAGTGAAGAAAATGTAATTATCCAAGAGCTACTGCCGGGAACAGGTGATTCCTTTAAAGATGGGGATGCAGTACAGCTTCAACTTGCTGCCCAGCCTTTTGTTGTAGATTCCGTACTTGTAGGTTTTTTTACCACTAACTGGATAGTCTTTTCTCATGTTTCATAAAATAATCTGAAAAATTTGACTGTATTACTCTCCTGCTCAGGCTGTCGATCCCCGCCAGTCATTGATTCAGTGTGCTCTATCGCACAAACTGAGCAGTACTGGATGGGCCTCAGGTCTAATGGGTGCGAGTCCTGGCTCAGTGCGAGTCCTTTTAGTACCCATACATACTCCATTGCCTTGGCTTAACAGCAAGAGGGATGAACCATTACTAATTCAAGCTACTATGAGTACTATCCCCTTGGAAGTCCACAGCCCCAAAGAGCTCCCATCAAATGATGAAAAGTTTCTCAAAGCTAGTGCACCTGCTAGTAGTGTTGATAGTGCTGTTGATTCAAGGTGTGTAGTGTAAAGGTGTGGAATTATTAGAAATATCTATTTTAAGTTTTACTCACTGGTGAACTTTTTCTGTTGCAACAGTGCAGAAGACTCCAGTGTTCGTGCCAGAGGTGCATCAATCAAAGAGGCTTTGACAAGTAGTCCACGCTCCAATAAAGCCAGTATCATTTCACGAATGGCTCGAATGGGACAAGCCACACTCCCTCTCAAAGGAGCGGTTGTCTGTAATCCAAGTGACAGTGAAGAAACAGAGGTAGATATTGCTCCTTTTCAACATTAAAAAGTAAAATAAAAACCTTAATTCTATTTTTCACTTTTCTTAATTTTATAGGAAGAGTCAGGAAATATTGGAACTGTGAAACCCCCTTTAAAAGCCCGGCCAGGGAAGTCTCGATCAGTGTCTTCATCCCACCGTCAGCAACCATCTTCTTCCCATACTTCACCAATTGCTGGAAATACATCAACTGTTACTATGATGCAGGCACAACCACTCTGGAATCAACATCAACAAAATGTAATGGTAAGTATCTTATATCAGCATGGTTTGACAAATACCATCACAAGTGGTTTTATGATTTACAGTTTTACATCGTCACCTTAATTTTACCAATGGCCATGTTTTTATTGGTTTTGTCAGAGAACTGCATCTGATGGTTCGATTGTGCAAATTATGGCATCTGAGGGACAGCTGGTGTCTATGAGTTCACAACAGCAGCTGCCATTAATGGCATCGTCTAATACAGTCATGTCTCCTACTGATCCAACTCAACACTTGTCTATGTTCTTGTCAGAAGCAAGAATCCAAAACACAGAAATGCGAATGAATCTTAGCAAATTCAGTGATAAAATTGACCGACTAGTGACTAAAGTATGTATCCCTTTGGAAAGCTCCATGCATAAGGTATGGTGTGGTGTTGTAAAGTATTGTTCAATTTATATTTTTTTAAGGTTGATAATTTGAATGTCTCATCTGGACCCTCTATATCGAGCAGTTCTACTGCAATTGGTCTTGAACCCAATGTTTTATTATCAAGCATTGAGAAACTTGTCCGAGATAATCAAACCTTGCAAGCAGAGGTAGCAGAAAAAAACAAGCGGTTGGATGAGCAAAATGAAAGAATATTTTCACTTCTAAACACAAATTCAAAGTAAAGAGCTATGAAATGCTGTTCAAAATTTGATTGTCTCAATATTATCCACTCACATATGTATCATCTGAACTTACACTTCTTTCACTTTCACTTCAGGTTTTTAGAACAGAGCAGTTCACTTCTGGAACAAAAACAACTTCAAGAGCAAAAGCAACACAAAGAAGAGCAACAGCTGCAACTCATTAAACAGTTGCAAGACGAAAAGTCAACTCTTGGGAATCAGCTTGCTAGCCTTCAAAAGCAATTAGTGACTGTACAGGTATTGTATATTTGTTTCTCTTAGATCATTAGGCTTATCAATCTCCATCCCTAGAAATTAATTGTTTTACTCTTTGCTCAGGAGTTAGTACAAGCACTTCAGAAAAATAACCATGATTTAAATCATGAGCTAGAAGTTACACGTGGTCAACTTCATGGTAAAATTAATATCAAATGCTTCATCTGAATTCTCCTCTCCACTTACAGTATCTTATCAACTCTCATTTCTTTTTTCCAGAGAAAGAAACATACCTTTGTACAGTGGACTCTCGTAGACAAAATTTGGGCACAGATGATCAATTATCTCAACTAAGTGAAACCCTTGATAAAATCAAAGTAGAAAATTTGCAATTAAAGGAAAAGCTTGTTAATGAGCATTCCAATTTCCTGTCGGAAAAACTTAATGCTGAAGCCAACTTTAAGACTGTAGAGCAACAGTACAAGGTATACTAATTTATTTATTTTTCAAATTGTTGTACTGGTGGCATTCTCTATAAACTGTTACTACCCCGTATTTTTGTATTCCAAACAAAGGAAGAAGTAACCAGTTTGAAAGACCAAATTACTAAGCAAACTGTGCAACATCAGAAGTTGACTTTTAACCTAGAATCAAAATTGAATGAACTCAACAGGAAACTTGAGGATCAGCCAAAACAGGTATTTTTTCTATCCTTGATGATATATACTGTCGAATGGCCTTATTTGGATCACCTGGGACAATATTGTCCACCCATGTAGAACTATAGTTTGTGGATGATCTACATTACCACACATTATCCCAGGTGGTCCAAATTTCTACAGTATACCCATTCATATGATGTATGTATAACTAGTTAATTATTTCCTTACTTCAGACTGTGAGTCATTCAACTGCTTCAGCTGAAAATTTAATAACTAATGTAAAATCATTAATGAATACACTACACAAAGGCCTCAATCATCAATTTGTGATCGGGCAAAGTTATGAAGCAGCACAAATCAAGGCCATAATCTCATCTATAGTGAAGGTAAAATAGTTTATCCACAGAAATATTATCTTTTCACCTTTTATATGACAGTAATTCATGACCCCCCTCCCCTCCCCCTTTTCTTTTTCCTGCTCAGAGAGAGGCGCTGCAATTTGTGGGGAAAATGGAAAAGGAGCATCTTAATCAAACCAATGAACAACCAGAGTCAGATACCTCTATGACTTTTGTTGGTACAACATCCCGTGAGAATGCATCCCCTGGTCCTTTACAGTTGAATGATTCTGACATTCCTGTACCACTGCAAACATGTGATAATGGTTGCAAAACAAACAATCCCGAGGAAAAAACTGAATCTCTCTCAGATCCATCAAGTGTTCTCAGTTCCTCAAATACACCAACAGTTGAAGTAGCAAGTACTACTGGAAATGCATCCTTGGATTCAGATGTGGTTAAGGATCGAGATGTTTCATTTGAAGAGGTACATTCTGTGCATTGTTTTAAAAATGGATTTCCTTCACCTATTTTCACTCCTTAATGTTTTCTTTATCTTATTTTTCAGTCATGGCGGCCTGGACCACCACCTCCACCACTTTTCCATGATGACGATGATAGTGATGACTGGTTAACGTAGGATAGGATAAGTTTTGATGTGAAAGTTTTGAAAATGACTAGGTCAACACCCTTTTTCTAGTGCCATACTATAGTGTAGTGAACTTGCTTTATTTTTTTTATTATTTTTTTTTGTAATTATTGAGGTAATCAAGTGTTATTTTTCTCCAAGATAGTCCAAGATGAACTTTTTAAATTGTTGTTAATCTTTATTGTGATATTCATATTACATTGTTAACTGGTTATATTGGTAGAACCATACAATCATATGAACTATTTTAAGAAGTGTTCTCATCAGGAAAACTAAAATGAACCATCATAATTATGGATTTACCAATAAACGTGCTTTATTTTTAATAAACAGAAAAAAAACATTCAAAATTTTATTTTGATAAGTGAAAACTTGGCTCTAGTGCACATTCATCAGACCCAAAAAAATTATATAAAAAAAAAGGGCATAAGAAAATCCACACGTGCCAACATTTAAATCAAAGAATCAATGTGTTGTAACCTGCTATCTTTAAATCTCAACAATAAGCAAAAATGTAGCATAGAGTAAAACACTCTAGTATGTAAAGGGCTCTAGTGGAACAACTAAACTAATGCCATTCCATGGCACTTCACCCCAAACATGTGTAGCTAAACCAGGATAGAGAATACAATCTTAACAAATATAATACACAATATTGTCTGCTGCCAGGCTTTGGCAATACAGAAACAATCAAATAACCAACCGAAACAAAATATATAGAAAACTCTAAGGGACCTATAAGTCATTGTAATAAAGGGCTGGTAAGACCCTGGCATTCCAGACCCTGTATAGCTAATTTAGAATATAGAATTTACAAAGTACTTAACATACAAGGCAAAGATATCGTCTGTGGCCATCATTTTACTGATCAGACTTCATGAGCTCCCACACTTTCCTTTGTATAAAAGGAACTTAAATTTATTCAACTAAACATTTTCAGGAAAATCAAATATGGTAAATACTAGGCCCTCCATTAGCAACCAATGTTTCATTATACACATAATTATTGGTTGTCCATTCTGACCTTGAGGTTTCTCTTGGTGGCTGATTTACATTCATTCTTCGCATATGGGCATCAGTCTTTTTGTGACGTTTAAGTTTAGTGGTGGAGTCGAATGACCGTGAGCAAACAACACATGAATACGGCTTCTCATTAAGGTGAGAACGTAAATGTATAGCTAAATGACCACTCTCAAAGAAGGCTTTGTCACAATATTTGCAGACATGAGATTTTTCTCCTGTGTGATACTTCATGTGCTTCCGGCGTTCTTGTAGGGTGACAAAAGTTTTGCCACATTCCTCACAAGCAAAGTCTTTAACACCAGTGTGAAGTATTTCATGTCTAGCAAGACCGGAGTAAGATAAAAATTCTTTACCACAGGTTTTACAAACATATTTAGGCTCTGCGGTGTGCCGCTTCTTGTGAGCAAGTAGATTGCTGAGGGTACGGAATTTACCCTGGCACACTTCACATATGAATGGCTTTACATCAGTATGGATGAGGGTGTGAGTCTTTAATCTTGAAGATGTGAGAAATGATTTGCCACATTCCTTGCATATGTGGTTTTTACTTCCAGAATGCTGGCGTTTTTCACCTGAACCACTAGAGCGACCATGTTTATCAAATTCTTTACCACAGCAGCTGCAAAAATATGGATCACCAGATCTTGATCTATGAGCTTTAGTAATAACTTCTTTCTTTTCACCTTCACCATCGATGTCTTGTTTGCCACTAAAGACAAAATTTTGACAACATGAATTGCTTTTCAATGCAGAGGGTGTGCCATGAACTCGTACTATATGAGATTTACACATATTGATGTTTGAAAAATTATGATTACAGATATTACAAATGAAATGGGACCAACTGGAAGAAGCTGCTGCAGCAGATGGAACCATTGTATGTTTTTGATGCCATAAAAGCTCTTCCTTATTGTAAAATTTACTTAAACAAATATTGCACTGAAATTTAGAATCCATGTGTGACAGCTCCATATGCTCATTCAGTTTTTCAATTTTGGGGAAAGGGAGAGCACAGATAGGACATCCCAAAGTTTTGTCTAATTCTTCAGGCGCTGGAGCAAGACCAGGACTTGAACTTTTCACGTGTTGATTTTGGTGCCATATCATATCTTGCTTTCGAACAAAACCAGAACCACAATCACAAAAGAATGATCTTCCATTGGAATGCATTCGCAGCTCATGGGTCTTCAAATTATCCAGACGACAAAATTCTCTGGAGCACACTTTGCAGGTGAAATCCCCTTTCTCCTTACCCTTCATTTTCATTGTTGAGCCCTTAACACTGTGGTATTTCTTTTCATGAAACACTCTGTTGTTATATCGTGAAAATACTTTCCCACAGACTTGGCACGATAAATGACTTGACATATCATCGGTCGGGCCTGGAGGGCCAAGTAAAAACCCAGCCTTCTCTGGGTCTTCAGCAACCGCCGCAGCTAAATGCTCACATAAGGTGTCATCCTAAAATAAACAATTCATAGGAAAATCAGAAAAACATTCAAGATGGATGACTGTTTAATAATGCCAAGGATTTTAATTACCATTTGATTCATATCCTTCTTGTCAGTTTGTTTGACGCACTGTCGAAGAACTGAGAAAGAGTTGTGACAGACTTGCTTGAAGCTATACCATTGGTCGATTCTTTGAAAGCAGTTTCCACAGATTTGTGCAGGCAATTCATCCCCCTCACATACCTGCACATAAAACTCAAGGTTATAAATTATACAGAACACATTCAGGACCTGTGCGAGAACAAACATCAAGCAAACGTAATATTTAAAGTAGGTGTGAGGTAAAAAAAGACCAAAATTATGAAAACAGAAGATATAGTGGACGGTGTAAACAACTGATTCTGACATTACAAAGGCCAAAATGAAATGAAATTCGGAGATGAACAATGAATAACGGGAGAGTCACTCCACCAACAAATGTAAAATTTCAATATTTACATTTTTAAATAGTGAGATCCTGTGGTTAGACGTAGCTAAGAAAAAAGTACACTGTGCAACAAATTGAAATTGTACTGGTGTTTTCATTGAAGTTACATGTCTACGAAGGCGGTACAATGGTGCCATTATTCGACAAATATTGATTGTTGGTCTGAAATCGAGGAAATATACGAGCACAGTGGTAAAACAGATAGTACCTCTAAAGCCACAGTCGAAGTAATTTTTGATGCGAGGGCAATTGACGAGCTGTCAGTGGTTTGCGTTGATATTGGTATCAAATCGTAGTCTTGGGTCAAACACAGGCGACATGTTTTGGAGAAATCGAGCATCTGCATCGGGTGGAAATTCATGGTGCCGGCCTAAACCAGCACCTAATGCCAGTAGCTGATGAAAAAAACACAAACAAATTCAACGTTCTTCTAGTGACCCAAAGCCAGAGAATGAAACAGACATCAACATGGCGGACGACTGACGCTAGAAGCAAAAACAGCCGATTGCTCTCATCAAAAGATTTTCATAGAAGACTGATGCACCTTGACCAACAACTACATATGATAGTCTTCTTTTCTGTTTTCTCTTTTAAGAATTAGAATGACATTTCTAAAAGGTGCTTTTTATCTCAAGTAAACGTTTTTTTAATTTTCTTCCTGCTTCCATATATCGTGGTCTAAAGTGCAAATTTCAGTGGATCTTTTCGACGTGCATTTGCCAAACTGCACTTGCTTGTTAGTTTTTCATCTTCATCGCTCTTTCACGAAGATATAGGCAGAAGGCAGAAGGACGACGAACACATGCGTAAACACATGTGTTAGATTGTAGGAAATTTGCAACGCAGAAATCACAACAATGGTTTCGATTAAAGGCGAAAAGAAGGTCAATTTAGATCGCTTGAGAGAAAAGCTGAATTCTGAATACAACTTTATCACAAGTGTGTTGGACCGAGTACCATCCATATATTGGCAAGGTAATGTGACAAAGAGGTTAAGGTAATTGTAGTGTTAAATCTTCTGAGTTCTGTCATTTCTCCCTATTTCATAGTATTTTGTAATTCAAATGATAGATTCACGCTTTTGAGTTTTTTCATTTGCTCACGAAGTCCTACCCATTGTTGTCATTGCATATTTTGGTTCTTGTCTGTGATTTGCTGAGCAATGGGTCAGAAGCCCTCTCAGCACCCAAGCAGCACAAGCGATCCTCCTGTCTGGAGGCAACTATGGTTGTCATTTCAGCCAAATTGTTTTTTGTTCCTCAGGTAATTCCAACGATGGTACAGACGAAGCAGAAAATGCTGAAGGATCAAAGTGGAAACCTGATGGTAATATCCCAGAACATGAACTGAGTGCTATGCTCTTCCATTACCTTTAGTTGTATAACAAGAAAAGTTTTGTTTCTTTCTACAGCTGGTTCGAAGGTTGTTGCCAATGCCAATAAGAAGCCTAGAGCCACTACTATTGAAGAGTTACAGGAAAGGCTGGAGGCGTGTAAAGGTATTAAAAATGGTGTCAGTTATAATTCATCCGATAAGACTCCTTTGTTGTTCCTCAACTGATTCCCATTCTCATGTTACAGCTAAGAAGGCACAGGGTTACAGAGATTTAGTTACCAAGAAGAATCTTAAATCAAAATTGAAAAAAGCAGAGAAGAAGAGGAAAAAGGCTGATGAGAGGAATTTGAAACACAAACAACTGAAGTTGGAGAAACAGGCAGCTAAGCAAACATCTAAGAATGGAACTGTTGAAAATGCACCCGACCAGAAGCCTTCAAAACCAGTATTTAATAGTGAAGGTAAAATGGTATTTAGTAAATTTGACTTTTCAGAAATAGGGTCTCAGAAAGAAGAGAAAAAGAAGAAGAAGGAACTGAAAGATCCTAGGAAAATTCTTGAAAAGCTAAAGGAAAAGAAAGAAACACTCAAAAAACTTAAAGACGAAGGGCAAGAAGCAAAAGTTCTTGAAATAAAGCAGAAAGAAGCATGGAGTAATGCTCTTAAAAAAGCAGAGGGTGTAAAAATTAAAGATGATCCTGAGCTATTGAAAAAGACCCTCAAACGAGAAGAATCTAAAAAGAAGCGAAGTGCTAAGCAGTGGGCCTCTCGAGAGCATACCAAGAAGAAGGCTTTATCCGATAGAGTACAGAAACGTGAAGGTAACATCCAAGCAAGGAAAGACCAACAGAAAAATAAGAAGCGAGCCAAAGCAATCAAAAAGGGGCGGATTGTGCCAGGTTTTTAAAGTTCGTAGACTTTCTTCTCTTTAATCATCTATGGAAAATATTATTATTGAAATAATTTTGTACATACATTCTATAAATAAATAACAATTTGCTATTAATGCAATCTTGAATTATGTTGTGTGCTGGAAGCACAATAAACAACACAAAATCAAAACAAAAACCAATTTTAATGGAATAGTTATCCACATCTTTCTTTTTCTGTCTTAATTCTATATGACCAGTGAGATATCAGAGAGGTTGAGGACTTGATCTTAGTACTGCTTGTAATGTGTCATTAGGACTCAGCAGCCGAGTGCTTGCAAGAAGCAATGTCCCTCCCGCATGGCTCTGAGTAGAACCTGACCAGCATTCTTCCATTAAGCGGATCTCACCCCCAGTTATTCCGCCTAAGACAACAATTAAAAGATTGGGTTGATCTCCAGGGTGCTGTGTGACAGGTGCCTGTTGTTTGTTTAGTAGCATGCTGATGGATAAGAGGAATGCATTAGAAATTGCCAATATATTTTGAAATTTGAAGATGACATGTTTGAAAAATATTTCACCTGAATCCACTTTTTAAGAGATCTTTTAGACCTGTAGACTGACAGGACATGTCAGGTATGAGCGGTTTTGAAGGATCTAAGATGTCTTTCATAATTCTTTGCAGAAGTGGTGTGTATTCAGCTGGCATAGATTGGCCTTGTTCTTTAAGAACTGACCTATACTTCGTTAGATCTCGACGAGTATGTGACACAGCTTTCAACACAGCAAAAACATGACCAGCCACTGTGTCTACCTTTTCGCGAGTGGCCTCTAATGGTACTTTAAGGAAAGGGAGGGTTTAGTCATTATTTGGGACGTATTTAAATAGCATAATGGTGATTTCACACTTACAAAGAATATCATGCACAAGGCCTGGATACTCTTGATCCTCAAACAAGGCCGTGCTGATTGCAGCTTGTAACTGAACTTCCTCCTTCAGAGGAAAGATCATCTCTGTACCTATTAATGAATAGAGAAGAACAAGCAGTGTGAGCAGTGCATCCAAGCTTAAGCCTCTAATATGCCTTTCAGTAAGTAATTTTGTAATCTGTAACAAATTGCATGGTTAGTTAAGTTTAAAAGTCCATTCAAGAATGTATAGCAAGTCAAAATGCTGTTTTTTGTTTTTGATACCTGTGGCAAAAGACCAGCTAATTCCTTGTTTTCTGTTGTGGCAACATTTTGACGTAAGACTCTTTCTGTACTTAAAACTAATTCTAATTCTTCGGCATGCTCTCCTGTAAGGGCTTGTACAGCAGCAAGAGCAATCTGAAAAATTAGTTTCATTAGTATCAGTAAAAGATAGTATAGAATTGTAAAACTTTGAATTTGGCCATAGGTTTACCTGAAGAACCCCACAATTTTGCTGAATTTTCTCCATGTTTCCTCTGAATTGTCTCACATCTTTTTCCAGTGCTTCTGGTTTAACTCTTGTTGCAAATTTACATCCGGGAGAGATCTTACTTCTTAAAATCCTGAAAGATACATAATTATACAAGTATCTTCGAGCAAAATTTCAAGAACATATTGCAAATGGTTTCAAGATTTAAAAATATACAAACTGATGCAAGTTTATCAAAATATCCCGATCCTTTTTATGAAGAAGCCACTCTCTTATATTTTGACTCATTGAATCATTATGAGCTAGACACCCAGGGAAAAGTGCCTCATCATTTGTAGAATCCCTAGGAAGATTGAAAGAAATATTTGAGATGTGTAAAGACACTACTATGATTGTGGTTTTGTGGTATTTTTCAAAACCCTTACACAGTGACTTGAGCAAGTTGAGACATATTTATTGCTATGTCATTGGTGTGGTCAGGGAGATGAGGTAGAGCACATAGTAATTTGTCTAAAAAGCATTTTGAATCTACACTGGCGGGAAAGCAGAGGTCTAAGGTACGGTCAATTATAACAACTGACACTCTATGCTTTGCAATCTGAAAAATTGATAGAGTGCTTATTAAAAGGAACAAGCCTCAGTTTGACAGACACCAATTTATTTTCTTAAGATTAATTACCTTCCTCCTGATGTGAACAGAGGGCAATTCCTCCAGTGCTCTTGCAACAGCACCACTTAGGGTTCCTATGCTAAAGACAACATCCGCTGCAGAAATTTGGTTCAACAAAGAATCCAAACTTAATGCCAAATTTTCTGTGGATGCTTGGTCTTTCAGAGATAAAACTTTTGGTTTGCCTCCAAATGATTTTACCTGAAAAGTTTCAGGGATCAGTTTGGAAGTACTTTGCTCCTTATCATTTACTATGAAAAGAAAAATGTCATGTTACCTTATTTAAGTCAAGAGGAGGGAATAGATCAGAAAAAGGGGGGAGCATGACTATAGTTTCTGTCAAAGGTGCATAGAAATAAGGGAAACATAATACATCTGCATGGATTTCCTGCTTGCAAAAGAGTACAGAATTATTAAATGTTAACATCTTGATGCTATTATTCTTTTCTTTGCAATGACTTCTTTTACCTTACTCTTCCCTGATTTAACTCTCATCCATTGCAGTAAATCATTTCTTAATCCTGGAACTACATTATGTGGTTCATTGAGAGGTACAGTTACCAAAATTACTGCTTTGAATAAACTCTGGCAAATAATATCACAGAGATCAACTTGAATAGATGAGTAGGGCCCTACGGTTATGAAGACAGCTTTTTCGGCATTTTCTATTGGTTCTTGAGAGTACTACATGTAACGGAAAAAAATAAAGTTATAGTTGTAAAACAAAAAGGTAATTTGTCTTCGAAGCTAAGAGTTAAAATTTAACTTAGAAACTTACTTTGTAAGCGTTTAGTTCCTTGACGGCTAAAGATCCTCTAGTTAGCAGTGAATTTAAACCAACGCTCCAGTGAAGACACTCTCCTGCTTTAGAATCAATGAATACAACAGCATTTTCCACATGATTTAGGACTTTTTCCCAAGCAGATTGGCTCACGGTGAGTAGAGAGGCATCCATTGCAGCCCTAAATCTACAATAGAATGAAATCAGGGAATGAAATAAGATATTTCCACTTGTCTGAAAGCAAATATTGTGATACAAGAAAACGTAACCTACATATGTAAACAGTGCAGAAAGGAGACATACACCTAAATTAGTGACATTAACTAAACTGACAACAATTTTATAACGCGAGACATAAAGTACTCAGAGACCCATGATAGGTGAAACAAAAAAGTAACAAACAGACATAATGTTGTTAACAAAACATGAGCAGACGAAATCACCGCTATGTGACAGCTGGCAGGTACCAGAAGGAAGCCCACTGGAAGTAACCGTGTGACGTCATTCGTGGGGCAAGACGAGACTATCGAACATTCAGTTTACGTACGTACGTGTACAGTGCTGTGTGAGTGTGTTGGTGTTCCATGTACTTTGCTTGTTCTGTATCGGTACGCTTATTTCGTGTAGCGAAGGTCCTAATTTCTTCAAGGAAGTACTCGAGGCTGTAGCTGCAAGGTGAGTCAAAAGTCCTACGAATGTGTTAGGCAGCTCTTTTAATGATGAGATGATATGCATTTCCTAGTTGTCACTTTGTGTGCTGACACTTTGTACCGGCGTTAGGAGCCTATTTTGTTTTGTTGGTGAGTGAGTTGGGACTATTTTCAGCGTTCAGTAGCCCTAAAGTCGAAGACGCATTTTGCCCTGCAGCAATTTTAGACACTGTGCATACTTAGAGATTTTTCTAAGTGTGACTGGAAACTTCTTTGTCTGGATCCTGTTTGGTTATGACTAGTAGTCATCGCAACATCCCACAAATTTTTAGCATAAAACATGGGCACTAGGGCTTTAATAAATTTTGATAGATCGCTTCACCTTCCGTCTTGTTTTGTCTGGATTATGGCTTTATTCTATTGCTGTTTAACATTTTTCTGTAGGCTGATGTGCTACAGTTTTGTTTTAGTTTATTTAAGTAAGGGACAACCTTGAGGAAAGGAGGAAATATAATACAGCATCAGTTTATTGCCAGTCCTTGACTGGTAATTATTTTACTTCCTATTCTTGTGATAGTAGCTTCATACGAACATATCTAGTAGACGGTCAGCATCCAGCCACTCTGGACTTGGAGTGGATCGTAACACAGAAGTGCCTATGGATCTCGCTTTTGTGCAGTGGCTCTGAACTCTTAAGAAAGGGGCTGGGGGAGGGGTGAGTTGGACTGAGAATGAGTTTGACACAAGGAGGTTCATGTACCCGCTCGCTACCCTATGGTACCCAACGGGTGCTAGGCCGCGGGTGCGGAGTGGAGGGGAGGGGCGGGGCGGTGGCCGACCCCACCCTTCTCCACCGCAACGCGCCGCGTCGCGACGCCGCTCCCCGACGCCGGCCGGCGCTGGCAGACGGACAGACGGGACGCCAGGCGGGAGGGCGGACCCGCCGACGCCACCCCCACACCTCGCGTCCTTAGGGGAGGTCCCTCCCCCCACCGGCACGGGCCGGGCAAGGGCCGGGCGGGGAGGCTGCGCTAGCTGCTCTCCTGCAGCCACAACCCCAGCCACCCCCGGGCCACCCCCTGGCTCCAGCACGCATGAGCGCGACCCCCGCCCGGCTCGGCCGTGGCCCGGCTGGGCTCGGCCAGAGTCTCGACCCCGCTCGTCCCGGAGAGTACGGGCGGCCCTTGGGGCGGCCTGCCCCGCCGAGGCCCGAGGCCGGCGACCAGTCTCCTCGCGGGCCAGCGCGGCCGCGGCTCCACGGTGCGGCGGTGCGCGGCGTGACGCGGCGGGGCGTGGCGGCTGGCGCAGGCAGCGCGGGGGCCCAGCCCAGCAGCCCAGCCCAGCCGGCGGGGCCAGCGACCTAACCTGCCACTGCCAAGCCACCGGCAGCGGCGGACGCGAACCGTGAACCGCTAAACGGCGAACCGGCGGCGTCGGGAACCGTAAGCCGTGATCGCTTTGAACCGTAATCGCGCCGATCGCGCGCGTCCAGCCATGTGACGCGGGCTGCGTGTGAGTGAGAGTGAGGGGTCCAATAAGTGGTGTGGCGTGTGGCGTTGTGCGAATCACCTTCCGCCCCCCTTTCCCCCACCCCTTCCCTCATCGCCTATTTTTGCAGCGGCTGCCTCTTTTTTGGGGGATAAGCCGGGAGAAATGGGCGGGGAATCGGAAAACCGCGAGCTACTGCGGTGTATACAGTCGGATAGTGCCGGCGTGATGGGTGGGGGAGGGGAGGGGGGATGGGGTTACGAGCCACGGGGTGCACGGCCGGGCGCCCGCCGGCCGGGGCGCGCAGCAGATAACCAACCCCTACTTCTATGGCGTGTAGTTTGCGGCTCGTCGGGGTGAGAGTCGATCTCTGTCCCCCTGTTTGTGTGTGTCGTCGAGATGGGCTGTGTGGAAGCGAGGGAGAGGGGCGGGAGGGGAGGAAGAGGGACTGCAGCCGCCGGGAGTAAAGGGGTTACGTCCGCTTATCGGCGTTTGTGCAGCAACATGTGTGCCGTGTGCCGGCGGCGGCGACATTCCTGGCGCTGCTGGGGGATGGCGGGACACTGAGAGCAGGAGCTGGACAGAGCAGTCGCGGTATAAGGTGAGGGAGGGAATCGCCCCCCTCCCCATCGCCTGAAAGATAGTCAATTTGTGCCACAAAAACCCTGTAAGTAGGCAACCCAGGGTTCACCCCACCCCACCCCCCTCAGTCGAACCTTATACCGCGCCTGGGGAACGGAAAGAGGAAAGTATAGTAGTATTTTGGGGAAACCTGAAGTTCGGGGCGGGGCGCCTCCGCTGCCCACCGCCCCTCCCCTTGCTCGTTACGTGATGAAGCGCCGGGAGGGGAGAAGTTTAGCGCTAACAGCACAGCCAATCACTTCGACACCTGTCGAGCCCAAAGTTGGAACGGCACTGGGAGGAGAACAAGGAGCACCTTCCCCTTTAGGGGG